TCTCGTAGTCATAATACGCAGCTATGGCTAGCAATATCCGAATAGATTTAAGCATGCTACTGGTGAAAAAGTTTTCTCATAATCAACACCTTGTTTTTGAGTATAACCTTTAGCAACCAGTCTTGCTTTAAAAGCATTAACTTCTCCATCTACACCACGTTTTCGTTTGTAAACCCATTTACAACCTATGGGTACTATACCCTGTGGTGGATCAATCAAAGTCCATACTTTGTTTGATTACATAGAGTCTATCTCGGATTGCATAGCTTCTTGCCATTTATCTGAGTCAATGTCCGACATTGCCTCATCATAGCTTATTGGATTATCATCCAAAAGGAGTCCCTCTTCATTGTTCTCTAACAATAGGTATAGCCTCTCAGGCGCCCTAGAAATCCTTTCAGATCTCTGAAGAGATTGTGTTACAGATGGTCCATTCTCTACGGGTATGTTATTTGTGGCATTTTGTGGAATTTCCTGTGGTTCTTCATTAAGTTCTATGACTCCGCTATTCTTTGAGAGAAACTCTTCCTCTAAGAAAACAGCATTCCTCGAAACAAACACCTTTTGTTCAGAGGGGTCATAGAAATAGTATCCAATAGACTCTTTTGGATATCCCACAAATTTACATAAGATGGATCTCATATCTAACTTACCTCCCACTAACTGCTTCACATAAGCATTACAACCCCATACTTTTATATACTTGTACGAGGGTGTTTTTCCACACCATATCTCATAAGGTGTGCTGGGTACAGCTTTACACGGCACTCTATTCAAAATATGTGCTGCTGTTTTTAAGGCATAGCCCCAGAATGAAAGAGGTAAACTAGTGGAACTCATCATTGATCGAACCATGTCCAACAATGTTCGATTCCTTCTTTCTGAAATCCCATTTAGTTGTGGAGTTCCAGGAAGTGTCCACTGTGAAATAATCCCATTATCTCTTAAATAATCAAGAAACTCATTGGTCAAATATTCACCTCCTCGATCTGATCGAAGAACTTTTATACTACGACCAATTTGTTTCTCTACTTCATTTCAGAATTCTTTGAACTTTTCAAACACTTCAGATTTGTACCTTAATAGGTATACATAACCATACCGTGAATAATCATCAGT